CATATTTGTTGTGATCATTCCCGTTTCTTCATGTGAAAATCAATGACGACTCAACTAATTTCGTAATTTGATTTCCCTCAAAGACGTAATCTGTCACTTGATGAATCAAATTTCTCATTTGCACTCTTTTTCGAGGGGGGTGCTCGGGTAAGCGCCCACCCCAAAAAATCGTGATTTTCTGAGTTGAGGCCCCTGGGCGCTTTCGCGGTCGAGTACGGTATATCATGTCAGAAGGTCATAGCCTCAGTCTCGCTATCTACGAGATGAGACTTGAATGGGATCTTGACATGATGTCACAATACTATGTACTATGCGAGTTGCAAACCCCAAGTAATGTACCTCTGATTGAACTAGTCATACAAAACAGCTAAAGTGTCTTTTCACAAAAAGCAAAAAATAAATAATATAGATCAATAAAAAGGATATTTGATGATTATTATTTTTTAAATCGATTTTCTTAAATTAAGTTGATTGGGTAGATATTTTACCATTGATGTATATTTGTTCTCTGTTGTCTTTAATACTCAATAAATGTCCTCCTGTTCTTCTGCAGCTTTCCTCTGCTTGTTCCCATGTGACTTCAGCATCAAAAACATATTTGTAACAAACAAAGGTGTCTGCATTGAATTCATAACCTGATCCACACCGAGGATTCAACACAGCTGAAAAAAAAGCAAAAATATAAAATTAAACACTTCAATTACATCAGTGTTCCAATCTTTTATTCACATTGACTTGATTATAATCTACACACATCTTTTATTCACATTTTAGTCAACCAGCATTTTGATATTTTTAATAGTAAGCTTCCTTGCTTCTTTAGCTTTCTGTGTGAAACAAAATTTTATGCATAAATTTATACTATACTTGTTTGTTAATTTTTTAATAAAAAATTCAAATACAATGTTCCAAATATTTGCACATCTCTAATATAAATGCACTTAACTAAGAAATTGCATTTATTGTATACAGGATTTTGGGTAAGCAACTAATTTTGACAATAGACAGACATCTGAACATACATGCCACTAATAAAACTAATAAATCAAATACGATAATGGTAAATACATTCATCAGATTCCCAATAACACAATTTTCTTTTGACTATCATGATATTTGCATAGCAGCATTTAATAGTCTGCATGGATGGGTCAGCTAAAGGTCATGCATCCTGGTACTTTCTGACCCCTAAAGGTCATGCATCCTGGTACTTTCTGACCCCTAAAGGTCATGCATCCTGGTACTTTCTGACCCCTGAAGGTCACACATCTTGGTACTTTCTGGGGCTAGAAATTCACTGTCAAAGAGTATTTAGTAATAGACAGCTGCTGAAAATTATGCTTTAAGCTAAAAAATGAAAGATTTGTTTCTGGTCCTGAAATGTTTCATAAAAAGCTGTGGTGATATGAAGCATGTTGTTTCTGTTGTTTTTCTTTAAATTTTATGGTTACTGTCAGTATTTTATTAGAAACCAAAAAAAAAATCATGAGTGACCTAGCCCCTATTAAAGTGATACACATGCTCACCAGGAACAAATCACGTTTTTTTTTGGCTTTATATAACAAGAAATTCACTTACGAGTTGGCTTTGGAAGAGTAGTTACCATGCCACCTTCATCTAGAAAATAAATTATAATATTATTTTCTCAATAAAATATCAGTGAAATACAGAACTTATATCTGCCATTACAAGAAACATAATATCAATGACCAAACTGAAGAATGACTTTACCACACCACCATTGTAGTACATCCTGTAGTCAAAAATTATTTAAACTCCACAAACTAATTAATGTACAGGTATGAATCTATAGTTATTGTAATTGTCACATCCTCAGTGAGCCAAGTACACATAGATGGACAATAATGCAACATCACACTCATGAGAACAGACCTGGACCTTGGTGTCTGACATGCCATAAACTCACAACCAGGCAGGCCATTGGACCAACCCATTCACTGGAAATGTGTACTAAAGTCTCACATTACTGTAAAAGGGTTAATTATTCACTGGGTTTTAATTTTGCTTATTTCGCTGACTGGAAAATGCGCTAAATTAAAACCCAGTGAATATGTAAAATTTAGCATAGAACACATTATCTAAAAGATAAAACTGTAAATTTAAAACCCACTGAATATGTCTGAAATGGTAAATCAGCGAAATTTAAACCCAGTGAAAATTAGTCATTTTACATTATTAGACTCTGGTAGAAAACAAACAACCCACACACATGCTATTTATGAGCCACTTTTTCAAGATTTCAGTATTGATGATCTATTCAGTAAAATTCTCTCCAGTTGCTTTTTTGTATTTTAGATCTCTATATTAGTCTTGTCGTGATGTCTTTTGCTTTTTTGGACGATACCTTATTTTTGTTTGTGTACGTTCCAACTAAGATATCATGGCAAGTGTACCACAGACTCACATCACATCAACATGAGAACAACCCACACACTGTGATGAAATGATATCCTTATTTGGGGATTCAGATAAAAATACGATATCGTTTGAAAAAAACAAAAACAAAACAATATTAAGTAACAAGTGACTTACATTTCTGTTTCTTACAAATATATCCATGTATATTATTACAGTCAAGATCATTCCATGAACCAAGTCTTGACTCGTCATATTCTAGAACAGTACAGTCTTCATAACCACCGTAGTCATTGGGTTCATCAGTACCTGCATACCAATTAGTAAAATCCACCTGAAAAAATAAAGGCATATTTTGTTCATTTCCCTGCTACATGTTTTCCGTAGTTTTTTTCTCATGGTTACATTTTGTGGCAAATCTCTTTCAGATTTCAATGGAAATTTGAAAAAAAAATTGGTCAAGATTTTGAAATAAGACGATAATACACATGAAAGTGGACACCGTTGTAGAATGATTTTATCAAAATTACATGTGCATATATAAGTATACGGATGTACATGTATATAGATTTTACAATGTATAAGGAAACTGATCACCAGCAAACCAGTGGTTTCCAGCATGGTATTACTAGTACATGACCATATCTTAGTAAATATAATCATTGATAAGTACCCCCAGTATTTCTTTCACAGATAACAGGTGGCATGATGTTCATGAAAAACCATGATCAAGTTTTGAAATGCCGATTGTGATGAATTTTTAACATTAAAATTGTTGCCATTGTCAAAATTGTCATCTAACTGTCATCGCTGATTGGCTGCTGAGTTGAAATGACAATTTTTGGTTTCAAATACTCCAGGAAAATGTTTTTAAGTTCTTCAGGTAATTACAAGGTGCGTTCAATAAGTAATGCCCCTGACCCACTTCCAGTTGTCTGATCTAGATGAAATTTTGCATGTGTAATGATTTACATCTCTATGGGTTATGTTGCAAAAAACAATTCTGAACTAATTGTAGTTGATGATTAACAGGTGTTTGAACAGAGCCAGTTGAGTGTTGTGCAGTGATCCGTTTTTTGTATTTGAAAGGACGCACACCAAAGAAGACTTTTGATGATATGAATAAAACTTATGGTGATGATGCCCCATCATATGACCTTGTAAAACGCTGGCATCGTGAATTAAAAAATGGCCGGAAGTCTGTGGAAACAGCTCCCAGACCTGGTCGTCCCTCTTCTGCCATTGATGAGGCATCTGTCCGTCAAGTTGAGGCAGCCATTTTGAAAGATCGACGCACTACTACTACGTACTAGCCCAAGAGGTCAAGATTAGTACAGGGTCTGTGGAAACTATCATTCATGACCATTTGCATATGCATAAGGTGTCTGCCAGATGGATTCCCAGGTTGCTCACACCTTTCCAGAAGCAAGGACACGTTGAGGATGAATTTGGAGAAGTGCCAAGAAGATAAGTCAAAGTTTTTCAAAAGACTGATTACACAGGATGAAACTTGGATCCATCGCTATGATCCAGAGACCAAAGCCCAGTCAATGCAGTGGGAGCACTTGGACTCACCCCCTCTAAAAAGGCAAGGGTACAGCCCTCCACTGGCAAGGTCATATTCACAGTCTTCTGGAACCAGGACGAAGTAGTGATGACAGATTTCCTGGCAAAGGTTATCAACATTTACAGGAGCCTATTACGCTTCACTTTTGATGATAAGAGAAGCTATCAAAATAAAGAGGCGGGGCAAGATCAGCAAAGGTATCCTCCTCCTGCAGGACAACGCTCCGGTCCACAACTCGCATGTCGCAAGATCAGAAGCACAAGCGTGTGGCTATGAAATCCGCCCCCATTCCCCTTACTCTCCTGATTTTGCACCCACTGACTTTCATCTCGTCCCAGCCATGAAGTTGTTTTTGAAAGAAAAGCATTTCCCATATGATGCAGCCTTGATTTCTGAAGATACGACATGGTTGGAGGACCAGCCTGGGGTGTTCTACAAAAACGGTGTCCAGAGCTGCATCAAACGATGGGAAGAAATGCATAACTCTGGGTGGTTCCTATGTAGAGAAAGACTAATAACTGTGCCAAGTTTCATTAATCTCCTGCTATTTGAAATGGGTCAGGGGCATTACTTATTGAATGCTCCTCGTAGGTGTTTGTATGCAAAGAATTTTCCCCACACAGAAACGACAAATTCGGCCAAATTTCGACGTTTTTTTTTCTGATTTGTAGGAATCTGAAAAATGTGTTTCACAACTTGTCTCTTTCTTTAGTTTCATGCTTTATTCAAGATGGCGGCCCCAATATAGTAAATATTGCATTTATTTTATTATCACTTGTTTGCCAGCAGACAGATTTTTAAACAAATTGAAAAGACACTATTGACATCCAAGATAAATGTGCACATAGCATCTGCAACAAAAGTAAGACTTACCGGAGATCCGTCAACCCATTCAAATTCCCCTTCAAGCGAGGTATCATGAAAACCAATCAGCAGCTTATCTTGAATATTATCGATGCGAGCTTTAATGCAAATACAAAACGGACAATTTATGATTATCAATTGCTGAGATAAGCATTCTGATTGGTGAATAGATAGCATAGAAATATTTAAAATTAATTACAAATTGAAGATTTGCTCATTCACTTTTTCACCACCAGATTTTCTTTCACTTTCTGATATTCTTCAATACATGTATTTCTGGAAATAAACCCTAATTTTGGAGCCAACAGACAAAATTTGAATCAATTTTCAGTTTTTTTTTTTTTTGTCGCAATCTTCTGAAGGGAAGTGCAGACTATAAATGGGACTATTTTGTGATAAAAAGAGGAAACTGGTGGTGAAAAGGTTAAATAATATATATGCTGATATAGCTCTGTTCATAATGCTCATCATCTCGCTTGAATTATAATAATATTATGGTAATTATGGTAATATTAATGAACAATATGTAGACTTGCTGTTTTGAACAAGAATTCAAAAATATCACTTTTCACCAAAAATGACAAAAAAAAATCATCAAAATTGGATAATAAAGAGGTCAGCATGTAGTACCTAAATATGTAATATAAAAGCAATCTGACTTGCAGTTTTCAACAAAAAGTCGAAAATATCACTTTTTACCAAAAATGACAAAAATATTCACCAAAATTATAGAATTAAAGATATCATTACAAAATGAACAAATCTGAGAGAGGTCCACATGTAGTACCTATATATGTAATATCAAGCAATTGGACTTGCGTTTTTTAACAACAAGTCGAAAATATCACTTTTACCAAAAATGACAAAAATATTCACCAAAATTAGAGAATTGAAGATATCATTACAAAATGAACAAATCTGAGTGAGGTCTACCCAAGGTACATATACACCGAGTATCAAAGCATTCAGGCTCATAGTTTTCAAGAAGAAGTCAAAAAAGTAAAACATTGACACGGACGACGGACAATCACTCATATGATAAGCTCCACTCGACAAAGTCGACAGCGGGGCTAAAAAAGAATAACTGTTAGTTATCGAATTTAAGATATATAGTTTTGTTTATAATAATATAACCAGTGATGTCTAATGTATGTACCAAGTTTGAACAAAATCCATCCATTAATGCCAGAAATGCTTGATATTTGATGATTTTTTAGCACAAAAATGGCCACTATTCGGCCATTTTTAATAGGGTTGTCAAACCAATATATCTGTATATCTATAACATGATGTATAATGAATATTTAAAATTTGAATGTAATCAGTCACAGCAAGTCGGAGATATGGTACTAGAACCACATTCATTAAAACAAAATGGCCATTTTGAATCTTATCTGAACAACAAAATTATGTGCATCAAGATCCTATATTGGCAGGCATTCGGCCATCTTGAATCAGATCGTGAAACAAATTGATGTGCATATGTACAATATCATGTGTGATGTATGTGTGAAGTTTGATTGTGATTGGTCCAGGCATTTCTAAGATACAGGCTCGGACGCACGGAAGCACGGACGCATGGAGGTCAAAACATAAGTCCCTGTTTTCGAACTGCATCCGAACAGGGACTACAAAAAGAATATTACATAAACTGTGTTAATCTCAATGTCCTTCATAGAATATAACATGAACTGAATAAAAGTTCCCAAACAATAAAATACATAATGACTAACATTTAATACTAATCCCAATATGGCAGAAGAGTACAATTGTGTCAAATTATTTACATGACACATTCATTCTGAACAGGTCTTGGAAAGTATAATACCACATGTCCAATTGTGAACAATGGATATACTGTAAAATGACTAATTTTCACTGGGTTTAAATTTCACTGATTTACCATTTCAGGCATATTCAGTGGGTTTTAAATTCACGGTTTCGTTATTTGGATAATGTGTTCTATGCTAAATATTACATATTTACTGTGTTTTAATTTAGCGCATTTTTCCAGTCAGCGAAATAAGCTAAATTAAAACCCAGTGAATAATTACCCCCTTTACAGTATTATAAGTGGATAGGTTTCAATGTTTTATCAAATCTAGCCAATTAAGTGACATACAAAGTACAGCCAATGTTATGCCAATGTAGAATTTGAAGACACATTTTCACTGATATCTTTCAAAATATATTTACTAGATTTGCTAACACTGAACTGCACTAAGATTAGGGGAAAGTGGGAAATAAAGTGATTCTGTGCACAGCATAAGTGATTGATAATATAAACAAGTTTGGGAATGATTGGAGAAAACTTCCTTGAGTTATCCAGAACATATGAATTGATAACAACGACAAAGACAGTGACAGCAACAATGCCATACAAACAAGTCAACATCTAAACATTCTTTTTCATTTCATTACAGACCAGGAGAAAATCTACTGAAAATAAACCTTTCTCCCACAATTTGCGCATAATTTATGAAAATAAGTGAAAGTAATGCAAGAATTAATCCAAGTTACAAACAATTATACATACCATAACCTGGTTGAAGTGGTACAATTGTCTGACCTGTGATAAAGAAAATATAGTATAATTAACACATGTAGATTCAACAATTCAAAACTAAGATATCTTTCAGATTGTTTTTTGTTGATAAGGACTATATAGATGGTACAATATATCTTAAATTGGCTTAAATTATTATTATATCTATTTTTATACAAGAGAGAAAATGACGTTTTGTCTGGATACCAATAATTTGTGTTACATGTCATGGTACAGTTTCAGCAATGTGGATGCATTGCTAGGTAAATGCAAAGGTGGAAAACCAGTCATGTCAACATAAAATAGACTGAAGCTTACTAGTAGTATGTAATAATCTATTACTGGTTATACTAATAATAGTTAGGATACTGTGATGGTTATGTTAAATAGGACTGGGACATTACACAGGACAGATAATGTTACATCAGACCACTATGATATGATGCCATTTTCCTCAACTTAAGGTTACAGCAAGTACCCATTCTGTCACTGCAGAGAGGGGGTTGAATACTGGACCCTGCAATCTCTAGATCTGGGCAGACATGCTAAGCATTATCATACTACACAATGGGCATAGGTTTAGTAGTTTAAAACAGTGCTTACTTACCTACAGGAATCTCACAAACAAACGGCTGCATGGTAAAACAGTAAGCAGTATCCCATCCTCCATCAGGGGAACCTATAATAATTATAAACAGTTTGAATCAACCGAGGTTTGAAATTATGCATGTCTTTATGTAAATGACAGAGGTCTATTGTTAAATAGCCTGACAAGGTTGTGTGAGTTGCGCCCTCAATAGTGTTCCAAACCCAACACACGCCTGACAGAACAATGTAGTTTTTCACTTCTCCACTTTTTATTGGTACCAATCAAATTCCAGGAACGTCAGATAGTGACAGCCATCAAAGAGTAACCATATACTTTTGTGACCATATCGTTTTTTGCTTAACTTTTTCATCGCACATCACACTTGCATACAACAATCTTATAAATCTTTAGTTACCAACTACTGTCTTTCATTTTAATATGATAGTTAATAGACATGCACTTTTCATTTCCTGGTGATAACCATGATACAAAGTTATATAAAGTCTCTTATTCCTAATACTGACCGGTCGCAACTGTACCACAATCTGATTGGTTTGGAGTGTCATTTGGTTGATCTGGATTCCAATTACTGTATGCGTATGATGATGTACCATCGGCCCAACGAAACACGCCATC